CTCTGACAGTAAATAGTTGCTGTGTCAGTTTCTTCTTTCTTGTACAGACATCTGAAATATATTTACAGAGCTTACCTTTTTTAAGCCTTTTTATTTTTTTTCAAAATGTATTAAATTAATTTTTACCTCAATTCTACACACAAGCTCCCAAAATGACAAAGTGGGGAAAAGGTTTCATTAAAATTCTTTTAAATGCATTAAAAATAATAGCAAAACAAAAATAGAACATGTTCATAAGTATTCACATTCTTTGCTTAATTTCTTGAGATCTGAGAATCCTTCAGTGGATTTTGACAAACTCCAGATGGGCTGTTTTGTTCTTTTCTGAGGAGTGGTAGCTCTACTTAGCTTTTTTCCCCTCTCTTTGTTATTATGGGCTGTTATGTATAGAATTGGAGGTGAAAAATTAATTGAATCCATTTGCAGTAAGGCTGAAACTAGATGAATTGTGGAACAAGTGAAACGCTGTGAAAACTTTTCAGATGTCTGTATCTGAAAGATTGCTTTCTTAATCCAAACTGTTGAAGCCTCAACAGGTACATTTATGCAGTTGAAAAAAATAATTCATTTTAGTATTGTTTAATAGCAACTGGATTAAAAGTGTTAATACTTACTTTCTCAGGTGAAGGAATTTGACACCATTTCTCGGTTGGACCAGTGGCTCACCACCATGCTTCTCCGTATCAAGAAAACCATACAGGATGAGGAGAGTGACCTTCGCTGACTTGCCTCTCCTGTTATTCTTTAAGCCCTAAAAAAATGACTTGCATCCTTGTTTTTTTGCCTTGAGCCTCTCACTTCCATTTAGCAGCATTGTTAATTGTTTGACCATTAGCCCTTGTATTCACAGATACCATTTCTTTCCTGCAGTATTCTCTCAAATTCAATACAGTACTCCAGAAATGATGGTCCTTTTAGGTATGAACACTACCCTTCTGAGTGCAGGCTTCACACAGTATGTAAATTGTATATTATTATGAATCAGGTATTGGCCCAGAAATAGTTCAGCTGTTCATAATTGGGCTGCAATACCAAAAACTCATACCAGCACAATTGTATAATAAAGGTTTTATTTTTATCTTCATTTCAATGAGAACAAATGAGAGGACACAAACTCACTAACACTTCAAGCAACTATATATATCTATATATATATATTTCTAAAATGTGCTTTAGAATAAACTAACCAAAATGCCAATATTGATAAAGGCACTCAAATTTGCTTTTGTGATTTTGAATGCATATGTGTACTATTTTGACAAAGGAGAGCGCCTCTAATTAAACAGTGCTTGATCTCAGCTGCAGAGGCCAAGAGTGTCTGTCTGAGGTTTTTCCATTGAATATATACCCCCTCTGCCTTATGATGCAAATTTCTCAGGATTTGGACTTGATTTGAGGAAGATTTATGAAACATGCTTTTATAAGCATAAGTAATTAATTTGCTAATTGTTGTCATCACTTCCATTAAAAGTGCTTTTATTCCATAAAAGGTGATGGATGCCCTTCACCTCTGTGAACATTTGCATGGTTTGGAATACATGAGAAATGTAAAACAGCTGTTTTCCATCTGTGTAAGAGTGTAAGTGTGTGTGTGTGTTTTGTTTTCCTTTCTTAATCTTTGACTTGTGTTTTCTTGTCTTAAGTAACCAGGCTGAAAAAATAAAGTTTTTAACGCCTGCAGAGATGCAATACATAATTGGGGAAAAAAAAGAGCTTTACTGATCTGAACACTGTGCTCATGTACCCTGATGATTTTGTCAGTGAACAATTCGTCTTAAATAATTTGTGATGTTTCCTGTCAAACGTTTAAATAAACCTGTCTCAATAGCGCATCGTGGGCGTGGTTTCCACCTTTGGGAAGGCTGCACCTGTGTGAAGTGGCATTTCTCGCTTTCTGTTGAAACGCGAAATAAGGTTTTGCGCTCCGGATTAGTTTTCGATACCCGAGGACACTTGGAAACTATTTTTGCTTTACAGTAATCGGGTTAATATTATTTTCTTCACTTTAGATGCAACTCCTTTGTTACCGGTTTGACTTTTTAAAATGTTTTTTATCTTCCGCTCAGGTGTAAAAAGTCAGTGCAAACCCTATCGAGAACCTGATTTTGATTTGTTTGCGTCCTCCCCCCAACCCCTCGAGACGTTTCTCCGTTATTTGTTTTTTGGCTTCTAATTAAACACCAGAGAACGAAGGTGTTCCCAGGTGTATCTCAGCACGCTACAGCTGCACGTGAATGGCCGTGCAAGCTCAAATTAATTCTTTCATGTACATTCTTCTTTCAAATACATATTTTGTGACAATAAAAATACTATATATAGTATATTATATACAGTATTTTTTAATACATTCAGACAGACATTGTTATATTAAGATCACATATACATGTATTTTAATGTACACATTTATATATATGTTCAGTCTCTTATACAAATATTTTTATTACAATCATGAGTCTAGTGGGGTTATGAAAACTATTTTTCATCATCTCCTGAAACTCTCATATCTTCGTCGCTTGGGGGAGCTAGGACGGCTCATCTGCATCCAGTGTTACTGTAGTGAAGTAGTCTTGATGCATGCTCAATCATCCAGGTAAGTAAATCTCCAAAAGTTGATTCTGTTCATCTGGACAAACGCTACGTCCAGATGAACAGAATCAACTTTTGGAGATGTAGTGAAGTAGATTTGGGTGGGATTTTACGTGATGTCCACGAATGCAGCACTAACATCCACACCTTCCCAGCTGATAATTAGAGGTCTTATAAGAAACAGCTGTGATTCATTACCACAGGGATGCATTTGGAATTCTTTTCCCATCCAAGGTGGCCAAGAGCGTTAAGCGGCTAAGCACGGCAGAGCGGTTTGATTTCTTCAGGAAAGCGGCTCATTTTAGTATTGCCCTTTAGAGAGTGGTAAGTGGGACTGTTGCGTTTGTTATTGTGTGGCATATAGTAGGGTGGACTTTGACGACTGCTTCCCTCTGTTTTATTACAGGATTGTGCCACACTGCTGCTGTCTTGTACCGTTGTTGTCATTTTACAAACATGTATGCACTGGCCTTGACTGACTCCTGGTTTTATGGTCTTTTACTCTAAATTGTTTGATATATTTTAATCATGCTTTTTGTAAAGAACTGTACCTTAGGGTGTATTTGTTTCATTTATCTCTTTTACCGATTTGTTTTATTGTTTTGTTGCTTTAGTGGAGGTGTGGCCGCTTGTCATGGGGCTAGGCACGTAAGGTGAGGTTCATCCACCCATGGGTATTCTGCTGTTTCAGCTCCTGTGACTGAGAGACTGATTTATCTTCCTTGGGAGAGGAAATGCCCATGGTTCAATGGTAAGACTGTTATAGGTATTGCCGAGTGGGTGGAAGAGGTGCAGGCCTGTTTGAGGGTACGACATCTTTCACCAAGCCCTTTTCATGATCATCTAGAAGGCGAGCCCAGAGAAGAGATTAAATATTGGCTTCCAGAGGAGAAAGACAATCACAAAAAGATTTTGACTGTTTTACAGGAACTGTATGGGTGTTTCTAAGTCATGCTTTTCTGCAGGAGGAGTTCGTTTCAAGACGACATCAAATTTAATTGTTCCGTATTTTGGGGATGAAATTTGATCTCGCTTGGAGACACCAGTCACATTGTGGTGAATGGTGATGGTAGGAGTGGACAAAATGTAGTCCACAAAGCTACACTTTGGGCTGAGGGTTGTTACATGTGTGGGGAGGGACAAAGAAGCGCTCACAAAGAAAAGCTGAGAAGAGACAACCGGAGGAGTTTTGTTGGGCTGAGGCAGAATAAGGGTTCTGTTCACCTGACCTGTAAATTGTGGATTTCTTACTAAAGGCAAGGTTCATATTATTTTTGTATTTTTTTTTTTTTTAAATAATAACTTGATGCAATTGATTTCAAATAAAGATTGTTTTAAAAGCTAATGTTGCTCATAAATTCTTGTCCTCTGAACACCAGATCGGTTTAACAAAGGTGGTGGCAGCATAACCTGTTTAATCCTCAGTCATCCAGGTCATAG